TTATATGATGCAGATATATTTTATGAGTATTAGCTGTTAGTTAACTTTCCAAATTCATTGCAAACGAAAAAAAAGCAAATAGAGAAATTGACCTCAATAAATTCATGATCATCTTGCACAATCTGAGCTTCTTTTCTCAAATCCCCAAATTTTAGCTAAGCTTTTGTAAAAATAGGCTTTTATGATTTGATCCTTTCAGCTGGCCCAGTCTTCCTCGCACAACCAATTACTTTCGTCGGTCAGTCGACGGAAAATGTTCCAGCACCAGAAAATCTCGTACGAACGGATTTTCCGCCGTCACAACACCAGTCACAACCGCCTCAACCTCAGTCACAATGTTGTAAGTTTATTTCGCTCGTAGATTACGACCTTCAGCATTAAATACGAACTACTGGGGAAGTTAATACAACATTCAAATGTTCAGCTGAAGAGTTGGTGTCTTGAAATAAAATAGGACGTTTGCATAAGAAAAATTGAAAGAGTAGTGAATTATGATCTCAGCGACGACCCCATCCACTTCGGCTACGTTGACTGCTCCGGATTCTTCTCCTCGAGCAAAGAAACCATGCGTGCAGACTAGCATAGAACAGCCCACGGAGGTCAGTTCATTTTATTTCCTGCTAAGAATCATTTTCCTTTAGAATTGATGTTAATTTTTTCTGGCACTTATAGAGTGATCAAGTTCGATCGAGAAAATCATCATCGTCTAGCCAGAAGTCAAGCAAAAGCAGGAGAGCTCGAAAAGAAGAAATGACACGAGAATTTGAAAACTGTTTAGAGCAGGCAAGAAACTTTTAAAAATTCTTCAGATTCTTCACGATTGCCTAGGAAAAGTACAAGTCTTTGTAGAGCTCGTGCTGAATTATTTCTGTGAAAATCGAGCCTCTGACTTTTTAGGTCCTTACATGGCTCCTAGAAGCAGAAGAAGAATTGAGCCTTCTGGAAGAAGTGAATGAAAATGATCTACCTGTAGTTCGCAAGCAGTTCAAAGATTTTGAAAACTTCATGTCATCACTTACGGAAAGTCAGGATACGGTGGGAAGAGTATTGCATAGGTATGTTGTACCTCTGCGATCATTATGATGACTGAGATCAAATGTAACTCCTTTGAGCCAATAAGGCATAAAATTTTTCTTCTTATAAAAGTACCAAAGATTATGCAGAGGTAAGATATCATTCTGCGAGGAATGCTGTTCTGGGTGAATTTTTACGGACAGGTCTTGTTGAAGTTATGCTCTTCAAATCTGTGCTTAATGCCATGTTAGTCGTCTTTTATTTTAGTGTCTTTTAGCGCCACTTGTGACCAAGAGTGACATACTGTTTTTTTAATCGAGGAAAGGTGTCAGCAAAATGAAATTTAAAGTCTAAAAACTTCTTATATTTTGTAAAAGGTAACAATATTTGATCTCATAAAATGTAAGTAATACATCTTCAGAAGTGCTATAATCAAAGAATATGTGCATCCTGATCAACTTGCTTCTTATTTTACACATTTGCCTCATACTATAGCTAAACTATATCCAACCCTGGTATGAAAGTTAATGTCTTTCACCAACCTCTTGAATGGGGCACGCCCAAGTACACTCTTGAGTGTGATTGAATAAGTAAATGAATCCGCATTTGTTGCAGCTCTTCAGGAAAAATCACTTTTGAAAATATGCTTTATTTATAGGTTTGAGTTTTCGCGGCTGGATTTTTTGTAACTGTTTTACGCTGTTTTGTCCATTCTTTTGATTACCGTAAATTTAACTGCAAAGTGGAACAAGAGTTTCGATCCATTACTTTATTAGTCACTTCTGGAATTTTGAAATAATCTGCCTAAATTTTTGCTGAATCAACTGCCAATTACAGAGGCCAACTTCTTTGCGGAAAATCTGAGACCGATGAGGAACGGGCAGCGATCGAGGGTCAACTGCGCGTGGTGAATGGTCGTTGGGAAGAGCTACGAGAACTAGCCATGCATCGCCAGAATGCCCTACAATTCACCCTGAATCGATTACAAAATCAGTAAGACAATGTATATTTTAGAAAAGGATGCCTTATGTGCTACGTTTAGGCAACTATCAACGATTGATAAATGGCTAAATGGAGTAGAATCTGAGATGGCATCGTGTGAGCCGTTAGCTGAAACAGCAGAAGCTGCAATTCGCCAAATTGATGATCATACCAAGTTGCAGGCTAAAATCCACGCTTTTCAAGACACCATCAATGACCTTAGCTCGTTTGTTGCTGTGGTAGGTTTCTGCACCTCGTGCTTATATATTTTTTGTAGCTGGAACGCAGTTGGTTAGTTGATAACTGTAAGGTTAATAGGCACAAAATTACCATTTTTTCTTTAACCCTATGTAACCTCATGTAAAAGGAGTATTAGCACTAGCTCTTCCGTTTTAGGGTTCCTGTTGCATGAAGGGCAAGCATTAATGCCTACACAAATCACTAATTTATTTATTCGTTCGTTTATCCAACATTCACTCATTCATTTATTTTTTCCATTCATCCGCTTCTAATTCGTTCATCACCATCATTTTGTATTCTACATCTCCACTTTTAAGATTGACGAAGGTGAATCTTCTGACGAGCGCATTGGAGCACTTGAGCTCACCCTACATTCGATTGGTGAACGTTGGCGAACGGTTTGTGAGTGGGCTGAAGTGAGGTAAATTGACTAATTCCCT